GAAGGCCATGTTTGGATACAAAATATTATAGGTCATTTTTGAAAAAGAATTTGAAATATTTCTAAGTATGAAAAGTCAACTCTTTTTCTTCAACTTTGACTCCATGTAACTTTCAGCTCAAGCATCCATTTGATTCCATTCTTTTTCCATTGCAAAGCTTGTAACCTCATCTTTCCAAAGCATCAAGAATTATTCCCTAATACCCCTTGAGTTGGAAATGCCATGGATTTGAATTTGGTAACTTGAAATTGAATTTTTCAAAGTCAGGATTTTGAAATCTTTGTTTTGGCTTCTAATCACAAGTTTTCCACGCATTTTTGTTTCTAATCATGATTAGCAACTTCCCAAAAGTGTTTAGCATCATGAAACGCACGATTTAGCTGAGTTTTGATCAAAATTGAGTCACACTTTCTTCATGATGCAGACCCACACAAATTTCCTCCAAAACGCATCATTCACTCTCCCTTTTGATCCCATTTGCTTCCATATAAATAGAGGGTCATCCCCCATCCATTTTCCCAAGCTTAGAGAGCCAAGAACACCCTGCCAAAACCTCACACGAACCCACTTTTTTTTAATTCAGTTTTTGAAATTTAAGCTTCATTTTCCAAAATTCTTTGCGCATTCATCATCCTTGAACTTCATACAAACTCTCCAACACTTAAACCAATCAAAACGATCCATAATTCAAGCTACAGAAGTCCAATTTCAGAGCTTCTTACTTGAACTTCGAAAAAGGTAGAATTCTCCACCAATTGAATCCAAATCAAGCACTAATCTATTCTACTCCTTTGTCTGATTCTAATGATGCTTACAATTTTTAAATCCATTGAGAATTGAGAGAGAAATCTCAAATTGAAGGTGCTCGCTATTTTCTGGGTTTTTGATTCATATCTCTCTCCATATCTTATATAAATTTGGCGCGATGGTGTGTTAGAATCGTCTTGAAGAGATGAGTTCAATGATACTAGCCTGGGATCCTAATTTTTCCATTTGAAGGATCTCATAAAATCCCCATTGCACAGTGTCTGGAGGTTGAAGACGATGACATGTCTCGTCTCAGCAAATGATAGCGTGCCAAGCGTTTTAATTTCATTGGTTGCCCTTTTTCTGATCACATGTGTGTTTCACTAAGGTCCATATCAAGCACAGTGCATCTGGTTCATTGGATTAGCTTACTAACGCGTTTTGACTATGATCTGATGGTCCACATCTTTTTGGTTTTATTTTATTTTCTGATTTTATATTTTATTTGATTAAATTTTCAAAAATTCATAACTCTTTTATTTTTTATCCAAAAATTATGAAAAAATTCACAAAAATACTTTGAATTATTTCTGATCTCATGAATATTTTTTCACATTTTTATTTTGATATTTGGTATTTTTTATATTTTTTGTATTATTAGCTTTCTTTTAATTACTTAAAAAATACTTTCTGACATTTTTTAATTCTGAAAAAAATTTATAAACATTATTTTGCATATTTTTTGACTTTCTAGAAATTTTATGGAATTTTATGTTGAAGTTTACTATTTTTGATCTATTTTATGTTTGTTTTGGCAATTTTAAATAGTTTAAAAATAGTTTCTGACTTTTAAAAATCACCAAAAATTTTATAAAAATATTTGGATCCATTTCTGATTTTTCTATGGCCTTATATTTCATTTCTTGATTAATTTGAACATAATTGATATTTTCCCCATTATTTTCTATTTTTAAACCCTTTTAATGTATATATTAAATATATTATTATTTTGTGATTATTTTCTGGCTGTCTTGAGTTAATTTTTTGATCATAACTTTATTAACATTATTAGATCTTGGGTGTTGAGTCCAACTCCACCAAAATGGATGAACGATTTTAATAATAGTTTGATTAAATTTTTAATTCAAAAGTGGTTTATTCATCTTTTTGCCCTAATCCTCTTCATCTCTCCCCTTCTTATTGCACTGGATGTTGTTGGAGCATGACCTCTATATCATGTCTCAAAACAAATGTTGCATAGATTGCTATTGACCGGCCTCAAAATAGGTGCGACTTCTATATAAGTCCACTTACGATTGCTTAACATAGCGCTAAATTTTGTCCCGATTTGAATAAATGATCATTCGTGGTCCAAACTTATGATTGCAAGCCCAAGTATGTTAATTTGATCTCTTTGATCCAATAACCTTGAGATTCATTGTGTGGAGGCTTTGGTTCTACCAATCCTCTAATGGATCTACAACACCTTTGGTCAACGCGGATCACTTAAACATCGTTGATCATTAAGTGGTACTTATGAGAATTCCAAATGGATGATATACTTGACAAAAAGCAAATGCAACTTGTTGTATGGAGGCTTTGGTTCTACCAATCCTATAATGAGTTCCAAATGCAAGTTTCAAGATGGTCATCCAACTAACCACTAATTATTGACTTGTTTTATCTTATGCTTTTATTCGTTTTTATGCTTTACGTACTATTTATTTTTTAGTATTTACATTTCATGCCATTTTTATCTTTGCTCATTTGAGCATTTATTTTCTTGTCATTTTTACTTTGCTCACTTGAGCTTTTTCTTTTCTTTTCTTAAGATACTTAATAATCAACATAAACCCTAAAAAAACTCTTAATGGTACTTGGACTATTTGGTTACTATCCTTGGCATTATGGAGCATGGGACTATTTCTTGGACTCAGGATTAAAAACCTTGGCCTATCTTGGAGACCTTGTGGTCTTATCTGATTATTTTGTCTGGAGTTCTTGAGGTTTACCTCAAGACATTGGGTTGCTTGTTTGTTTTTGTGTGCAGGTTTTTGTGATTACATTCTCTGTTTGTAATCTAGAATTCACTCGTATGTAGCCGTTACTCTGCCCAATTTTTGTGAAGACTTAATACACTTGAAGAGGTCTAGTATCTTTGTTTGCTTGGTTTCAATCCAAAGAATGAGAATTTTATCTTGGCTCATAATGTTAAACTTTGTCTTCTTGTTGGTTAGATGGATCTTATCCTTATCTTTTACCTTATGCTTTAGGATAGTCTATTTTTGTCCTCCCATTTTCTTTAATTTCAAAAATCTTCTCTCTCCTTTTGAAAATCCTTCTTGTTTTAAAACTTGAAACACTTTCATAATAAACTTGGACATAGGTCCATGTTCAAAACATTTTCATCAATAAACTTCAATCAACTTAATAATACCTTGACATTTTTTGTGAGAAGACTAAAAGTCAATCAATCTCATCTCAAACCATTTTGCCACTTTGCCTTTTATCTTTAAACTTTTCTCAAAAGATTAGACTCTTGTTAATCCTTGTAGTCATGCAAACAACTATACTTCTACAATATATAGTGAAGTGAGATATTTTTCACTTAGGTGTTGAGTGAGGCATTGTTGATTTTAAAATCCAAGCCATATCCTCCACTTTGAGATGATGCAAATTTTCCTTTCTCATGATTGTGGGTAGTAAGTATGTTTTCCACACGGACAATGACGATGATGTCTTATCTCTTAAAATCAACCAACACACTTGTGTTTCAAATTTTTAAAAGAGGAACTACGTGTACCCCGATCCCTTATTGCACGAAAGGTGGTACGTAGGCACTAAAGATTCTCAACCGCGGAGGGTGCAAAAATCATAAAAATATTTCTTTTCTCACCTCCACCATCCATTTTATATACAACACATTTTTTATAGCCAAAATATACAGATTTTATAAAGAGGTTCCTGCGGAGTACCGTAGATGTTTAGGGTGCTAATACCTTCCCTTTGCATAACTAACCCCCTTACCTTGAATATTTCCCCCTCTTTTTGGGTTATTCGCTCTTTTCCCATTCCTTTGGAAACAATAAAGCGCGGTGACGATTTTTATTTTGATTTGTATAAAGTCTAGTCAATCCAATGGCTTAGTCTTGAGCATTTCTACCGCTACAATTTCCCCGAATTTTCTCTAGCTTCCTTCAACACCGGAGATGCTCATTGTTGCTTTCAACACAAGTCACACACAAGTGTCATCTAAAGACTATATAAGTATCACGTCCATGTGTTCATCATCATCACTTGATTAGGGTTTATTTCCCTAATCAATAGAATATTCAAGAGAGTTCCATGTGGAACTTGTTCATCAGTTGACACCATCATCTCAGAGTCATGGGTTAAAGTTTAAGTTGGTGAAAAGATCTTGGTATTCGTAGTCAATTAGATATTTTGTGCAAAAGAAGCTTGTCATTTTGCAATGCAAGAGGGTCATTATTCAAGGAGATCGTGTCCATTGTTAGCTAAAATTTCTATTAACTTTTCTTCATCAAAGGAGGTTTGATTACTATTGAATCATAAAGCATTGGGTATGGATATTACACCGTAAGAAAAATATGTATTCATTTGGTTCTCATATCAACTACTAAGGGTGTGTGTATCATAATTCAAGGCATTGTTGACATATGCTATGTTACAAGTTGTTCTTTAGACATGTATTCAAGAGCTCTAAATATAAACATGAGTTAGAGGCCATTCAAATTCAATTATGGCATACACGGTTGTTTGATTTAGAAGATGGGAACATGGTAAAAAAAAAAAAAAACCATGATACCAGGACAACATCCTTTTAACTAAAATAGAGATCTAACTGAAGTGTCCATTCAATTTTGGTTTACTTAGTTCAAGAGAAGGCAAGCTTTGTAAATGCAAGAATCAAATTACTTGGCCAAATCCATACAAAGAAAATTCAAATAAAACCAAATTGAATTCTATAAAATCATTTCTCATTACAAGAAAACTCCATTACATCGAGAACCATTGAATTCTTCAAGTCCAAAATCAAATTGTGACATTAAATCAAAGGAATTAGTTCAAGTTACATAAAACTTTGCACCTAACTTAAACCCTATTGTCCTAAGTATTCTTCATGCCTAGTCTTCAAGACCTTTTCAGTTTCTCCAAGTGACTTCCATTGCTTTCATTTTCCCTTACCTTCAAAGTTACTTGTACCATGCCATGTCCTTTGCACAATCGCGGGCATGCACTTATTAATAAACCAGAAATATAATCACCAACATCCATCAATTAACCAGCAACCATGTACAATTAACATGAAGCAGGTGCAAATAAAATCAATTCTCCTTCTCCGCCGCGCCGGAATCCTTGGGTCTTCAAATCAAGTTCTTTCACGATTCCCTTTCGAAGCTCGAATTCGTGAGTTCTTCAGACTCAGGGCGTCACACTTGTTCTCCGATGACGCCATGAGTCCGCCGAAAATCGCAGAGAGAAAGGAATCGCGTTTGGAAGTTGAAGCCGAAGGGCCACTCTCTTAGCCTAATATGAAACGCAACGTTTCCTCCATGGTTCTATTCTTCCTTTATTTTATTTTATTTTACTTAGCAAAATAATCAGAAAATGCTGAAAGAAAAATTGAAAACAAGGGTTGAAATCTGGATTTAATGGTGATGTTAGACCTGGCCTTGCCTGGCCTCATAGATTCTTCCCTTAGCCCATGCCGCATGATTTTTGAAGCCTAAACAAAAAGGCTGCTGGATTGTCCACATTTGGGCTTTGCACCAATATGCTCTACTCACACCACCTGATTTTCAGTATTACACTCCCTGAATTCTCTTCTTCTTTTCTCTTTAGTTCTTTATTGATTTTTTAGATTTTTTAAATAATTTTGGGGGAGAGTTGTAACGCCCGTAATTTAATTAATTATTTAATTAAATTGTTTTTGGAATATTTGTGAAGTTGTGTTGTGATTAGTTGGAATTATTTATTTTATTAAGTGGTGAAATAATATTATGAAAATGATGATATTATTTGATGTGGGCTTGTTTTAAAGGAATAGAAGTAGTAAAGAGGGGGTGTAGTAGTTTTAAGTCCATTAAGGAATAAAGAGAATAATAGGTTATTTCATTATTGTTAGAAAGAATAGAAAGAAGAAGCAGTAGAAGAATAAGGGTTAGAGGAAGAACGTGAAAGCTGTTGGAAAAGAGGAAAGAGGCAGAACGAGAATCAATTGGAGAAAGTTATAGAGCATCTTTCAATCCAAGGTAAGGGTGGGGTTCTGACTCTATAATTGGGTTCATGATAATTTGTATGTGGGATTAGATGTGAAAGTGTTGTTTTATTCATGATTGAATTATATGATGTTGTATGATGGAAATTGATGATTGAAAGATGAACGATGATGTCCCGATACTGTTTATTTTATGTAGAATTGTAGGACAACTGTAAGTGATGATTATCTATGATTAGATTAGGTTTTTTGGGCTTAAAATATGGAACCTGTAGTGAAAACACAGAGAAAATCGTAGAAAATTCCCATGAGAGAGCAATATGCGTCGACTCCAAATGGTATGTGTCGATACAAGCAGGTATTTAGACTCAGGATGAGTCGACATGAAGGAGCCTTGCGTCGATACATGAGGACTTTTAGACTCAGGATGAGTCGATACGTAGGAGCATGTGTCGATACATGCTGTGTGGTAGACCTAGTATGAGTCGATACAAGAGAGGATGCGTCGACTCATGTTGCAAGCTCAGTTCAGTACGCGTCGACCCAAGACGTTATGCATTGATCTATGTTGCCTGGTTTTTGGCAGAATCAGTTTGAGAAGGCTGTAACTTGAGTTTTCGGACTCCGTTTGAGGTACCGTTCGAAGCGTTGAATGGCTAACGCAATGAACTTCATTCTTAAGGATTAAAACGAAGAATAGGAAGGATAACCCTAGTATCCAAATTAGGATTAGAGTTAGTTCCCGCGGTAACCGCTATGTTGGTTTTTATGAAGAAGGATGCGGATGAGACGTTTATAGAGTAATGTCTGGTTTGTAACAATAGGATTAATGATGATAATGATGTAATATTACAGAAAAGTATTATGTAGATATTTGGTGATTTAGAAGTAAGCCTTAGTCGATTAACTAATTATAGGCAATATCTTGTATAGTCCTATGGCCAACGTTGCGAAATTGATGAGTTACTGTCGTATTACTGTACGACTGAGTTGTTGATGAGGTGATGTTAATGAGAGTTTGTTTTGATGAATTATGATGTATAAATGATGTTTGATGATTTATGATGATAAATGATGTCGATGAATGATGTTGCTGAAGAGATGTTGAGTTGTTTTTAAGATGTAGGCTGTTGTACCCCAAAATTTGCCCTCCCATTTTACTCAACATGTGCTCATTAAAACCCTTAACTTGCTCAAGGATGCCCAAGAGTTGACCAGACAAAATCTCTCCTAAAGCAATAAAGCTCCAACTAGGTTTTCCATATTCATCAAGACCCTCCATGATCCTAATATGTCCTGAAGACCCTCCATGTCAAATTTCAAGCCTTGCACAAGAAGTTTGCTCAGTCAACTGCTCAGATGCTTGGGAATCGACTATATTGGGTCAAAAGTCAACTGTGACCCACATACAATCAAACTTCAATATTTTTGGTCAACATTAACATTTTAAAGTGAAATTCATCATTTGATCAAGGGTTGACCATGATTCCCCAAGGAATACTCCTAATTCATCAAAACACAAAGGTTATTAAATTAGGGTTTCTTTGGAAAAGTTAACCAAACTTTGACCAAGCATAACTTTCTCATACTTTATCAGAAAATTTTCATCCAAGGCTCATTTTGAAGGGAATTCAATTCCCTACAACTCATCTTCAGCCCTCAAGTTCAAGAAATGCACTCATAAAAAGATATGGATTTCTACATTATAGGTCCTTTTGAAAAGTCAACAAAAATACCTTTTGGGTCAAAGCTTCTTACATGAACATGTAAGACTTAATTGAGATGCAACCAAAAGTGTTGTTTAGGGGACATCCTAATCTCTCTAAAAAGTCCAAGAACACATCTCTAGGGTAAAATTGGAAGAGTTATGCATTGTCAAAGTTGACCATTTTTGGAAAATTGCCAAAAGTCAAATGTGCTAAAAAATGCATTTTTTTTCCAAAAGGGCCTAGCATGTCAGGGTTGTATCTTGTTAAGGACATGGTCCACGACCCAAATCAGCAGCCATATATTATTTGTTCTACTTATTTATTTTATTTTGATTTTTATCTATTAAAAATCACATTAAATCAAATAAATGACAAAAAATATGAAAGATTGATTTTTTGATATGATTTTGGTGAGAATCAAATCTAATTAAGTTGGCCAAATCAGATCAAAACGAATCAAGGCAATTTGAGGCAAAAATAGCATGATTTGGATGGTTATGGAAAGATATCATATGGCAAGAAAATCACATTCAATCTCTATAATTCCAAAGGATTCAAGTCGTTTTTGTTACCCTAATTCATTATACTACATATAATGAACAAAAACAAGGCTAGAGAACAAGGTTTGTAGTCGTGAAAACAGAGAAAGAAAACTCAATTTTTTGGCAAAAAGTGGTGGATCGTTTTCTCACATAGAGGGTGATTCAAGACATTCCAAGGCTCTCAATCGCTTCCTGGACGTCTCCTGAAGCTAGCACGATCCATTGCAAGCCTTCTCAAGCCCAGAATCGCGCCTGGTAAACTCACGGTTTACACATATAAGCTTGACTTTGATTTTACAATTTATGCATGATTAATTACTTTTAAGCATAGCATTATATTTACATCATCATTTGGAATGTTCTGGTTTATTTAATTTTGCATTTTGAAGCATATCTGGATATTTTCCATGGCTAGGGTTTAAGAAGCCGTTTTAGGGCTTCTATGTACAGGTTAAATTAGGCCAAGAAAAGGATGCCATGATACTCGTGGGATCAAGACGAATTGATCCATGTACTCACTTTCAACTTATCATGTGTTGTATGGATTTTTGAAGCTTGCAGGGCTTTGGCTATGGAGTACTGTCCGTAGGTATAAACCTGATACCTAAGACGACAGACAGGGAAGAAGATGATGATTTGTCACCATCCCAGTGGCCAATTTGAAAAATCGCGCATTTTTTAGTCCATCTACTTTGTTTTACATATTATGCTTTAATGTTATTATTATTTCAACTAAGCAGCGTAGCACAGATGGCAGGGGTAGGAGCATGTGAAGCAAGGGACCTAGGTTCGATCCCAAGTCCAAACGTTTTCTTATTTTCTGACTATTTAAACGCAGATCCAGCGTGCCTCATCACTTAGCGCCTACCATGTACCCCAGATCTCAGCCCTGAGATCCATCATCAGATCAAATCTCACGTTCCAACGTTGAGGGGCTACCATGCATCATCAGAGGGGTGAAGCACAGGATCTGGCGCAGGATTGGGCTCAGCATGCAGTGGGCCTAACAAAATTCAGAAATACACACCCATTTGTTCATCTTGCAGGCCCAATTTCTTACCTTTTTTATTTTAATTCTTTTTATTTTTATTTATTAATTTTGTCCTTTTTTAAATAACTCAAAAAAATCATTTTTTATTTAATCAAAAATCATAAAAAACATCCAAAACCATTTTTTCAAAAAAATAATTAATTAATTAATTAGTTTAATTAAATCTATGCAATTTAATTCTCTTTTGATTATAATTTAAAATAATTAGAATTAGGATATAATTTTATACGTAACCTAATTTTCCCTAGAAAACAACATAAATATTTTCTCAAATTAGATTTTTAGGTCGTCTAATTATTTCTCGCACTTAATTTTCCGCGCGCTATTAATTTTCCTTTTTTATTATTATTTGTAACTGCTCTAAGTTTCTAATAGATTTAAATAGAATTTTAATTCCGCATTTTATTTTCAGTCAAAATAATTATGTATCTGCCTAAAGCCATGTAATAATCAGGACTCTAACTTCTCGCGTTTTAATTTTCGCAAACTATAAACTACTTAGATGTATGTATATGATTGTATGGAAAGACGAACTGAAATTAAAATAGTAGAAAATCCTAATTATGCAAAGATAATTAACTGAAAAAAGCACACTTGCACATGCTCACTCCTAGGGTTTACTCCACTCCCGTTGCCTTTGGTAAACTGTCATAAAGTATAGGGAATGTTAGTGGTCGTCCTCTGGTTCCAAAAGATCCAAAATGACCCATTCGGATGTTGCCTCAGAAATGGATCTTTAAGACTTTAGGACGATTACTAAAATTTCCTAACATTGCTTTTGTGATCGTATTTGTCCCTTCAAACGTTCCTTAAAACTCCAACAACGGTGCTACCTATTCCTTAATAATAGGATAGCGCTGTCTAAAGGAAAACGAACAGACTTTTTTTGAGTAGGTAGATTAGTTCCTAGGTACTTGCTCAAACAAAATTTTTCACACAAACACTTTTCAAAACAAGTTTCAAAACAACTTCGTCACACTCTTGAGGACTAATACAAGGGTTATCA